TGCACAAATATAAATATAAAGTTGGGCTTTAAAAGTGAAGCCAAGTGCCTCAAACCTGCATTCTTTCTGATGGCCAGCAGGGGGCAACTTGTTTGGCTCCAAGAATGAGTCAAATTTAATGAAAGTCTTTGAGAAAACAGCCCCGTATTTATAGTCTGGATCATATTTCATATTTAGCACATGATGATGTTCATTTTTGGAAATTATGGATCCATTAAGAGTAAAGGAGACAATAAAGCAGTGTGAGTGTTGGAGTGTCCTTTGGTTTCTCAGCCACATCTATCTGCTGCTCATCACAAAGGGTTAAATTAACGCTAGTGACCAAAATGCTCAACTGGAGGCCTTGAAACTATGTTACAAGAATAGATGACATCAAGGTGGCTACATCCATATCTACAGTGTAACCTGGATGCAACGTAAAGACTATTGATTGACACACAAAATACTTCCAACAATTGAAACGTGGAAAAATACTGACTGTTTACTTTCAAAGTAAGCGGATCCCCAGATATCTTGTAGAACAGATATCTTGCGGCTTTCAGAAATCAGGATTTCAGAAGGTTGCAGAGTGTCAGAGAGAGAAAGCGAATGCAATCAGCAGGTGAGAGATCGAGTGTGAAAGGATGGCCTAAGTGCAGCTGGCAAAGCGGTTACTGTTCCCAGCTTTATTTTTAATTTTGGGCAGGAGTGAAAGGTTTGGCATGACGGTTGAGTGCAAGCTAGTATCAGTCCAAACTCATCTCTGACTGACAAGATACCAGCACGCCACAGTGAAGCTGGTTATCCCACCACTATGAAATCTACTCCAGATCAACACAGATGCCCAGTGTGACATAGGCATGCTAATTCCTATCTTCACTAACACACACACAGTAAACGTGAGCACACAAACATTGTGTAAGCTTAGACATCTGCCATCCCTTTTTGTATCTGAACGCACGGTAACTTCTGTCTGTAATCATCCGTTTAAAGAACCTTGAGAAGAAACAATATAAGAATCTAAAGCCACAGATGTGCCCGGTGCTCCCAGTGAGGCCTAAGAGTCAGACTGCACATCTGGCAGGGTCACTATCCAGCTGTGAGGAGGTGACTTCTTCACTGTTCCTGAGCAACGCAACCACATTTAGAGTGAGTCCTGCTGGTCATACAGTTGATATTTACAATGCATCACACTGGAAAATGTCATTTCAGTACAAAAAGAAGAAGATGCATGCTAGCTGTGAGGAGAACGTGTGTTTTTAGAGAAAAACTTTTGGACTATTGCATTTACTGTGTTATATACTGTGGGTCGAGAACAGCTGCAGATCTGTATCACAGCAACACCTCGAACAATATCTAGAGTCACCAGTTTAAACCTGAGTGCAGAGGCCCACCATGACTTGAAGCCAAGCCCATTTAGTGAATGCTTATTATTTAAAAAATA